CTCTCCTAGCCGCCTCCGCCACCCGCTTCCATCCACAGCCCTCCGAGGCCCCGCCCCTCAATCGCCAGGCGGGGCAATGGCATTCACCAGGGCCAATCGCCACCTCGCCTCTCCAGCCCAGGCACCAATCCTCGCTCTCTGGAGGCGGGGCTTCTCCAAAGTCATTGCGGCTCCTCCCAGGGCCCCTAGATCCCTTTTGTTTGGGGAGAGCCAAACTGGGATTGAGGTCGCGTCACTTCCGGGAGGAAGCATTTTTCCGCCCCCCCTCCGGCCAGAACTTGGGGGTGGGCTCGTGCCTTTCCGGGCCGGCTCTTGCAACTTTCCACGTTCGGTGAGGTTTCTGGGCAGGACCTAGGCGAGTGCTTCGTCCTTTACCCTCCTGGTCCTGGAAGTTTAGGAATGGCTGGTGCCCTGATGGCTTGGCCACGTTAACGTTTTTGAAGTGTGCTTTGCTGTCTGGTTTAGAACTAGTTGTTGAATACCTGGTAACGTGTCTTTCCTGCTTTTTTTTTTTTTTTTTTTCCATGGATGAGTTTGTGGATGTGCTGCTAGAAGCAAGGGCGCAAAGATGAAAAAACCCGGGGACACCCGCCCTCCTTTTCTTTTCACAGTACATTTGGGAGAGGATGCTCTGGCGTGGGGGCGCAGGGTAGTACCCGGATGAGCATAATAAACCCAGCCGGACTTGCCTTAAGGTAGAAGGCGAATGAGTAATTACAAATTGTGTGTCAAGGTTTTCCAGGCTGTGGTTGCTAAATGCAGGGACTTTTTTCGTGTGTTCTTGGCCACCTTATACTGTGGGCAATGGCGTTTGCATTGAAGCTGGAACAAAGGACAGTGTAAAGAATTCAAGGAGTGCCTGCCCCTTCTTGTGAACACAGAAATGCAGATCTTGCTGGTGGCAGCAAATCCTACCCGGACCACAAAGCCCAGAGAGGGGAGAGGATACATCTCTGCCTGCCGTCAAGTCTTCTGGATTCCTTTTCCAGTTCACAGATTGATTCAGCTAGTTAAATGATTAATAACCACATTATTTTAAATACAATAAATACTTATAATCCCATTGCATATAATGCATAGTGTACTAATTTTAATACATTACTTCTAATCATTATTAAGCAAGGCAGTATTAGGGGTTTAGTATTCACCTAGGCAGACATAGCCCTAAAGGCAGATGGAGCCCTCTGCCCTAATGCAATTTACGTTCTGAAGGAGGGACGCGGTCAGTCTGTTTCATCACAGGGAAGTTGGAAGGAAGTAAACCAGTGACCACTGTGCTGGGTACTTTTATATAAAGTTATCTTCACTGTATATCTTACTTCATCTTTACTTAATCTTCACTACTGTATGAAAAATCTTTAACCTGTAAGGTAGATTTCTTTGTGCCCATTTTACAAACGAGACGATAGAGATTCAGAGAAATCGATCAAAGTCATAGAGCTAGTGAATGGGAAAGAAAGAACTTCCCACAAGGATGTGTAACTCCAAACCTGTGCTGTGTTCTGCTGTTGTTGACTCTCACAAGGAGGACACGTCTGGAGAATGGGACTGTATGGCTGTAAAATCAGCATTAGAACCAGAAAAAAAGAATTCCCTGCCTCCCCTTATTGATTGTAGGCTCGGGAGGACCAACAGCAGCCCAAGTGCCTTGTAGGTAATGAGGTAGGAAATACGGAACTTCAGAAAGACATTATTCCTTGTGTTTAGGAGACTGACAATGTGAAAGGCAAGATCAAGGGCCAGGCACATAGTAGGTGCTCAATAAGTAGTGACTTGATGGTTACACAGAGGCCAGGTACTGGAATAGGCCCATGAACTACAACAATCCCATTTCCTCCTCTTCCCTTTCGCCCTGCCTATGGGTGTGCAATGAGGAAGTGCCTCATTGCCTGACAATGAGGCAGACATGGGAGAACAGGCTATTTTCTGAAGCCTGAGTCACCCTAAGAGTTGTCCTAGTGAATCAGCCCCTCCCTCCTTCCCCTCCTTCCTTTTGTAGCTGCTAACCCACCACCACCCATTCTACTCCCAGGCTGTAGTGCTCCGTGGCCTACTCCTTTTAAACAGCATTCGTCAGCTCCCCTGACTCCCAGGGATCCCTCCTGCCCATTCCTGAGTGTGGGAGGGCCCAGCAATATTAAGATCATCTTTGCCTTGTGGTATTCAGAATCCTCAGGGTTTTCAGATTGCTTTTCTCAACAAAAGGTTTCTGTCACTAATCCAATGCCATCAGGAGCCCCAATTTCAGGTGTGGGTGGGGTGGGGTAGGAGACTTTTTTTAGTTTTGCAAACGTTTTGCAAAGGTGGGAGAGGAGGAGAAAGGCAGCTTCTAAGAGAAAAGCAGTTTGGGAGAGGAGTGGAACAGAAAAGGCAGGCAATGAAGACAAAGCAGAAGCCCTCTTTTTTTTTTTTTAAAGTGCCCCCCTGATCCTGATTGGTTCATTTTTATGCAAATGAGGAATCAAAAGCTTCAAAGTTTAATTGGTTCAAATAGCACATTCAACCGCCCCCCCCCAATAGAATTGCACGTTCTGATTGGTTGAAATGCCAAACAATGGCAATTCCTCTCAGTTATGAATTTGGATCGAGTTAACCACAAGGAGTCCTTTTTGACAGTTACATTCCTTCCAGGAGTCAACACTTTCTTTTTAATTCATCACCCCTGCAGAGAGTTAATGAGCAGGTCTGTAAACCTCAGGAGACCTTGAGGCTGCAGCCCTGAGAGGTACAGTCAAACCTCGGTTCTGGAATGTCTCCCATCCCCAGCAATTCGGATTTCGGCCAAGTTGTTCATGGAAAAAATGTCTCTGGTTGTCAAACAAAACTGGTTCTCGACCCAACAACCGCTTCATGCCACTCACATGTTTCTCAGGTGACAAAAGAGATTTGGTGTTTGAACGAATGGCTTCTCGATCAGCCTTCCAAAACGAATTAAGTTTGAGACCGGAGCTTCCACTTCTGGAGTGAATGAAGATCGAGAACCAAGGTTCTGAGTTTTGTAATTCTTCTGTATAAATAAATTTAGAGTACCAAGGTGTACACAGAAGTAGAAAGTGGGTCCATAATATCTTAAACTTGTACCGCAATGTACCTTTTTATATCTATCGTCAACTTGCCAGAAGATATTTATTAAATGCCTACTGTGTGTCAGGCAAGAACTTAGGAAATGCAAAAGATTGCATAGATCGTGTCAATTTTTTTTCCAAATAGGTAAACTTCCTAGGTAGGTGTTCCATAAACGTTTATTGCTGGCTTGGGGAGGCAGTGATGGAGTAAAAAGAGCTAGGCCGGAATTGAAAAATCCTGGATTTCTATTGGTTTCTCAGGGCCACCCTAACAAGTTACCATCAATGGGTGGCTTAAAATAGAAATGTGTTCTCTTTCAGTCTGGAGGTTAGAAGTCTAAATCAGGGTGTGACAGGCTGGTTCCTTCTGGGGGCTCTGAGGGAAGATCCATTCTGTACCTCTGTCTTAGCTTCTGGGAGTCGCCGGCAGTCCTTGGCATGCATTCCTTAGCTTGTAGTTGCATCACCCCAGTCCCTGCCCCTGTCTTTCCATGGCCTCCTTCCCACGGTGTCTTGATGTGGTTTCCTCTTCTTATAAGGACAACGGTTACATTGGATTCAGAGCTCACACTAATTTTGTACGACATCATCTTAACTCATTACACCTGCAAAGACCCTATTTCCAAACACGCTCACATTCTGAGGTGCCAGGCAGACATGAATTTTGGGAGGGGGAAGCATTCAAACCCATTTGCAAACCTACTTCTCAAAGTAGCGTCCCCACCTAACTGCATTTGACTTTATTGGTAAATAGTATAAATGTAACGAAGTAATTCAGGAAGATCATTTCAGTTCTATGATGATAACTAGATATGCTAGAAGCCATTAATCAAGCCTTTACTATATGCCAGTCACTGTAAAATCGCTTTACATTACATCTCCTTTAACCCTTAAAAGAATCCAAGGAGATAGGTGTGCTTATTCTTAAAGTACACATAAGGAAATTGAGGCACAAAGAAGTCCATTGTCACTGACTTACGTGATGAACATAAAATGTTTACTCAGATCTGATTGCAAAATACACTTAGTAGGGGGCCCGGTGGGTCAGGGCACATGCCCAGGTCCCTGTTAGGGCTGCACTGTGTGAGAGGCAACCTATTGATGTATCTCTCACACATGATGTTTCTCTCCTTCTTTCTCCCTCCTTCTCCCCTCCCTTCCCCTCTATCTAAAAATAAATAAATAAAATCTTTAAAAAAATCTTAGTAGGGAAGAGGAGAGCTATGGATACTTACCTGAACCTCAGTTTCCTCATTTGTGAAATGGGATGATAATCTCGAGAATATACAGATGGGACGACCAACATAAATGTATTTGGTGAGCTCTACGAGGAGTTATTATTATAAACTACCTGGGAGATCTTGCTCAGACTCCTCCTGCTTGGATCCCAGCCCTTGAGCTAAACACCGGGGGTTGAACACCTAGCCGTGACTCACTGGGGTGACTGATAATGCTGGGCGTCTAGATGTACGAGTTGGAGTGACTGGGAAAGGGATCCGGCCCCGTCTTCCCCACCTCCTGTTCCTCACTGGAGCCCCCCCGTGGGCTCCTCCAGCAGGGGATCTGGAGGTCGCAGGCTAGAAGCCTGCAGGGGCTCTCCCAGGCAGGTCCCAGGCTGAAGGTGGGCTCGCCACAGCTCCCTGCATTTTCTCCCTTCACTTGTTTCCACGGAGGCCTTTCCGAGTATCCCTTTAGCCTTCTCTTCCTGCTGGACCTGCTGAATCCGAGGGACCAGGGCAAGGGAAGTTGAGAGATTTTGGGGCGTGGCCCTCACTGTGTTCCCGAGCTTATTGCTCCCCCTAGTGCTGAGCGGTGAGTCCTGCAGCTGTCTGCTTCCCTCCGGGCCTTCTCAGTGCGCCTGGGCGAGGCCTCTCACTGGAGACTTTTTCCTTTTATGGGTGTGGGCTGAGAGCCCAACAGGTAGCTGGCTCCTGCAATCGGCAGTCGGCAGTCGGAAAAACCACTTCCAGGGACAGATACTTCTGTTTTGTAAGTTAATTGTTGGGGCTAGCTTGGCCATGAGGGGAGCCAGGAAATTCTTACCATGGATTGTGTAGGGGGAAGTATGGGGAAGAAAGGCTAGGAAATTTAAAACTCAGTGCTTCCTGTGCACCAGGCGCTGGTGCCAGGTGCTTTACCGACATTACATGCATAATTCTTGTCCTCTTTACATACGTAATCCTTGTGACCATCCTAGGAGGTAGTTATTATTGCTTCTGGTCGTTCAGATAAGAAAGCAGGCTCGGGGAGGTTGAATGCCTTGCCCAGAGCTCACACAGTAACAGTAACAGTGACAACACACCAGCGAATTACTTAGTGCCTACTTCCCACTAGGCACCTTATTTCTTGGAATCCTCACAGGAAACCTTTAAAGTAGTCACTGCGGTCCTCATTTTACTGGTGAGCTCACTGAGACTTAGTTGAAGAAAGGATAACCGAGACCCTGGACTGAGATCAAAGGGCTGGGTCCTCCAGTCCCACTGTTTCCATGGCACCAGTGCCGGGTGGTGCCAGGGCGGGGGTTGGAGGGAAGGTGGGACTGAGCCCAGGTCCGTGTGACTCACTGTCCTTTCCGTTACTGGGGCCGCCTGGCAGCTCCTCCCAAGGACCGGGAAGCTAGGGCCCTGAGGTTTTTTGGATCTCCAGATCCAAAGATAAAATCCTGGAGATAGGATGGCAAAGACAAAGCAAAGGGCAAAGTGCATGTGATCTTGGGGACAGTTTGCTCAGGGAGAGACATAACCAGGTGGCACTTGGGGGCTGCACCAGAGCGTTGCTGTGGAGGCCTTGGCGAGACCACCCGGAGGACCTCAGGTCCTGTCTCCCTCTTCCTCTGTGGGGTTCTTTTCCTCTTCTGAAGTTGGTGGGCCAGGATGGGGAGCAAAAAGCTCACAAAGGGGTTCAAAGGAGGGGTAGATGGGTTATAGTCTGGCCCAGACAGAACATTTCTGCAAGGCCCTGCTGGGTAGTTCAGTTGGTTAGAGCATCATTCCCATACGCCAAGGTTGTGGGTTCAATTCCTGGTCAGGGCACATATAAGACTCAGCCAATGAGTGCATAAATAGGTGGAACAGCAAATTGATCTTTTGCTTTCTTGCTCTCTCTCAAATCAATAAATTAAAAAAAAAGAGAGAGAATTCCTGGAAGTAGATGAGATAAACCGTGGTTTCCAAGTCACCCAGTTCTCAAGGCTTTGAGTCATTTTTAACTCTTCCCCTTACCCCACAAATACAGATTAGTCATAGGTCCCTGGAAGAATGTTCTGTGTTCCTTTGGCTGAGTCTCAAGTTCCTTTTATTTCTAATCTTTGAAATTATTAAATTATCCCTGAAAAATCTATACCAGATGATGAGTTAATAAACTGGTTGATGTTGTGTTGGTTACATGCAAGTGTTAGATGCAGGCAGATGGGTGGGGAAAGAGACGAGTCAACTACTGTTTTTTTTTTTTATATGGAAGTTGACTTATTTCATGAAAGGCGAACTCTTTCCTTCTCTTTCAACCCTTCCCCTTTCAGTCTTTCTTCCTGTTTCTGCAGGTGCCTTCTTCTGTCCCTGCTGGCTTTCCAGACACAGCTCTGAGCCCCGGAGCTTTGCCAGCAGGGCTACGCTGACCGGAAGGCCGGTCCCCTTTCTCGTTCCCCTCCAGCCCGCCTCTTCCCCACACACGGCCTGGCATTCGGCAGAAAATAATTTCTGTGCTACGGCCAGAGGCAGAGCCTTGGCTCGCCGTGCCGCCCAGTTTCAGTTTGAGGAGAGCCAATGACACGTTTCCCCTGGTCTGTTATTTCAGCTGAGGCACCAGCAGTTGCTGAATGGGTCCTTGTTGCTCAAAAAAGGGAGAAATATTTGTAGGGAAAGTAATGACCTGGCTGTGACCGCGCCTCCATTCCTAGGCAATTTTCTGGTAAGTGGCCCTTTGGAGTAGGCTGTGCTGGAAGCTTCTGTGCCCTCATTTCCTGCTTCTCAGCCCCTGCTGGGCTCCTGCAGGGTCCGGTCTGTCCTAAACCCAGTGACTGCGGGGGCCCAGGTCCCCTGCTTCCTTATGCAGGGAAGCATCTGTATACATTGCCCATCCCCTTTTCTTTCTGCCACCTTGCCTCTTGTCCTCTTTTTCGTCCTAAAATCATCCCCGAGTGCTCATTGTCATCACCACAAGGAATGAGACACAGCTCAACCCCGGGGAGTGCTGAGTCTTGAGCGGAGGCAGACTTACGTAGCTTCTGGTCCCAGGTTCTCCTGCTTTCCGTAGGCACACCTTCCGAGGAAAAGAACTCACCTCCGTGTCTTACGTCATAACTGGGACTCCTCCAGATAGAAGGGGCAGAAGAGTCCATCCAAACCAGCCAAAGCAAAAAGGGTTTTTGTTGGCTCATGCTAGGAGAAATTCCAGGAGCAGCTGATGAAGAGGAGGCGGGACCCGCTTCCCAAAAATGTTCCCCGGGCCCAGGTTTCTCTCTCTGTAACTCGCTGCGTGGGTTCTGTTTCTAGACACACTTCCTTCCTCAGTGGGCCGAAGCATGGGGGCTCCAAGTTCACATCCAGTCATAGTCCATGGCCACGAGCACCTCCCTCTGTCCCCGAGGCCGGAGAAAGCCATCCCTCTGTCTTCTCGGCTCTGCCCGGACCCTGTGCGCATCCCTGCACCCAGCCCTGTGGCCAGGGGCGTTTGTTGCTCTGGCAGGCTAGGTCTAGGTCACGGGCTCTATCTAGAGCTATGGGTTACGCGTGGGGAAAAGCTATAACCTCAGATGGAAACCAATCAATTAATTACCAGAAAAAACGATGGAGGATGGGAGTTTGGGAAGCAAATAGTGTCTATTACACACTTGAGCATTTGTCTCGCATGCTCGCTTACCTTCCTCCCTGCTGGCCACTGGCAGCAACTCTGGGGCGGCTGGTCTTCGTCCTCCGTTTCCCAGAGCACTACTCACGAAAGACTTGCGTGGAGCAGTTTTTTACTGAGGACTTGGGGGCCTGGGGTGGTACAGGTGGTGATAAAAAGGTTTTAAAGGTGAGAGGACCTCATACTGGAGGGTGTACTGGAATGGCCTGAAGAGCTCGTTAAATCACAGGTTGCCGGCTGGGACCCATCTCCAGAGTTTCCACAAAAACATGGGTCTCTCCTGTGTGCTAGATGTCGTGGTTTCAGTGGCGGCCACGGTCCCTGCTCCAGAATTCCCCCAACTCCGTCCTGCAGAGCGATGTAATTCCCTGTCGCCCAAGCCCTTCGCCTCTCAGCTCTCCCAGGGCTTCCAGTCCTCGCGGCTAGATAGGCTCAGGGAGTCACTTTCTTCAACAAAGGACCTGATTTGTACAACCTGCAGAGGCCAGCTCACTCAGACTGCAGCCAGTCTGCCGGGGTAATGTTTTTCATTTATTTTCCTATTGCATAGGCAGACAGGGAATGTTGTGGGTCAAGTACACTGCAAGAGGTATTGACGAGGCATAGCTTTTAGGGGCAAGAAAAGAGGAAGCAGAATCTTCTTCCAGGAAGAGCTGCTTGACTCTTCTGTAGCCTCGTGGAGGGAGTCACGTCAGAGCCAGACCGACTGGCTGTATGACCGTGGTGTGCCGCTTAACTGCTTGCACTTCAAACCCCTTACCCTGTGGTTGAGAAGAATAATCCTGTGATCCACAGGGTGGTAGTAAAGGCGAGGAGAGAAGCCAGGAGACTCGCGGATGCCCTGTTCTGCCTACCGCCGATCTGTCACCGAGTGCTGTCTGTTTTACCTCCTGACTGCCTCAGATGTCTTTGGTCTGTCCCTTATCCCGTCTCTCTCCAGGACAGCAGCGGTAGCTCTCCCATGGGTCTTCTAGAGTTCGCTCTAGCCCCTCCCACTTTATTCTCCACGCAGCAAGCTGAGTAGACTTTAAGAAAACACAATCTAATGATGCAATACCCCCTTCCTGTGAATTAAAACTTTCTAGTGCTCTGAGGATAACCTGATTCACAAAGTGCTCATCATTTGGTTCCTGCTCAGCCCCCCAGGATCACCTAGTGCCCCTCCGCCTACATACCTGGTGATGAAGTCTCTGTCCTGACCAGACCTCCGTCAGCCTCCTCCAAGCCCTTTGCTTGGCTGGGTCTCAGCGTCGTCTGCTCCCACCCCTGCCCGGCCTTGCTGGGCCTGCGCATCGCCCAGTCCTAGCGAGAATCCTGCTGAGTCAGTTTAGAGAGTCTCCCCACCCGGGATGTCCGACCCAGTTCCTCAGCCCCCACCTTTGCCGCCTAAGCCCGTGGCCGGCCTTCTGCAAGAACCCCCCCTACCCTCAGTGTCTCCTCTTAGCACTTTCTCGTCCCCATTTGTCCACTTGGATTTGGAGTTAACCCGGTATGTCTCCCCTGTTGCCATAGTCTTGACACCCTGCTGCCCAGTCCCAAGTAAAGTCTGCCTTCCTGTTGGAACAGGTGTGAGAACGAACACCTTTCTTTCTGTCATGCTGGCTGCTTTTCTGTTCCTGAGTCTTTGCTAGTATTATTCCATAGTTTTTCTGAGCTGCTCCTCCTCCCCTGTACTTAAAGCCTACACATCTCAGTGTCACTTTCTCAGAAAAGTTTCCTTACCCCAGCAGAGCGAGTAGGTTCCAGTATTATCTCTGTAGCCTGTGACATGATTTGTAATTAGATATTTGTACAATTATCTTGATTAATGTGGCTTACGTAACTCATTTGAAAGCTCCACGGGCAGGCAGATCATGTCTATCTTACTCATTGTTCTTACCTCTGGTATCCCACACGGTGACTGGCACAGAGTAGGTGTTCTATAACTGTTTGTTGATTGAATGAGTGACTGACAGACAGTGCTCTACTAATCATTTCTCCTAGTCTCCAGCTGTGGTGACAATCCCAGACACTTTTGTGGGAGACAGAACCTTCTTTGGCTTATTTCAACCTACTGCAAACCCTTCTGGGGAAAACCTAGGGTCATACCCTTGGAGGTGCCTGGGAAGCTCAGAGTTTAGGGGGCCCACCTGAAAAAGTTCCTTATAACTATGCCCCAGGACCATGAGTTACTCACCTTTTAACCCTGAGTGCCCACAACAGTTCTGGGCCTGTTCAAATAAATGATCCTGGAATTGAGGAGATGTCCACAAGGGACCCAGTGGCCCATTCGGGTGGCTCCCGGGAACACAGATGGTCTCCTTGACACAGACGGTCTCCTGCATGGGTGCTAACAGAGACAGGTGCCCCTTCCACCCCAATGGCTGCTGCTTCGCAGAAGACGCCCCGTTGGAAACCAAGTCCATTAGGTGCCTAGTTCTGTAAAACAGGGAAATGGCAACATGAGCTTAGTGAGATGCCTTAACTGTTTCTGCTGTGGCTACCCGTTTTCCTGTAGTTTGTATTGGTAGAACAGGAGGGGAGAGGCAGGGAGGGAGGGGACACAGTAAGAAAATAGGGAGCTGGGTGTCTGGGCCAGGCTCTGACCCCACTTGCGCCGCCCCCACTCTCTCTCTGCCCTCAGTGCTGAGCTCCGAGAGACTGCTCCCCATGCTCCCCACCCCCCACCTCATCCTCTCAATCCCCTTGTAGTCGCCCTGCTGCCTGCCCTGTGCGCCTGCTCCCCTAAGATTTCTCATGACCGTCTTGTGGATAAACCGCGTGCATGTCTGGCTGTACCCCGTGCTCCCTGCAGCCTCAGACATGGCTCTCCTCTTCCTCCTCCTCCTCCTCCTCCTCCTGGTGGGGCAGTGATGCCAGGCTCCCTTGGTTGGGCTCCTGCCTCCCCTTCCCATTCTTCTTTGTGGCCATTTCTTTCTCTCCCCACTTAACACACAGTCACAGGTGAGCCACCTAATCTGGTGGCTCAGTCACCACCTGCACTCAGATGGCTTCCAAGTAAATCCATGTCTCTTGCCAAGGCCTGTGCCCTGAGCTCTAGACTCCGAAAGGACCTCTCCAGGCATCCATGACCCTCCTTTCCCCCCACCCAGCCACCCCGTCCTGCCTGCTCTGCCTCCTCTGTCCACCCAGTCCCTCACCTTCCTCCTTCCCGTGGGCCCTGGCAGCAGCCGTCCCGCTGGGCTTTCTGTGTCTGCCCAGCTCTTCCTGTTTCGATCCGTTTCTGCATGACAACCACAGTGACACAGTGAAATTTTGATCTGGTTGCCTCCCTGCTTACGTTTCTACAAAGTCCTGGGCTTCCTAGAAAGTCATGAGCTTCCCGTTAACTTCAGGATCAAGTGCAAACGTGAGCTTGTCAGCGACATCCCTTGTTGATCTGGCCTCTGCTTATGTTTTCAACTCCAACTTTTGCTACTTCCCCGGCCCCAGGCAGCACTGGGTGCTCCTGACCTGCTGAATTCCGACTTCACTGCGCTGTCTTTGCTGTCGTGGGGACCTTTGGGTGTGCTGTTTCGCCTTTTCTGGGTTCTTCCGGTCTGGCTAACTACTCTTTATTCAGGACTCTCCTCCATGCCACTTCCTCCAGGAAGCTTCCCGTGATCTCTTCAGGCCAGGTTACTGCCCCTCCCCTATCCTGTTTGTCCTCTGTGTCCCCTGCACTTGTATCTTCTCCCCCAGACTTGAAGTTCCTTGGTGCAGGGACTCTGCCTGGTTCGTAAATGTCTTCACAGTTGGTAGCAGTGCCTGGCACATAGTAGGCATGCACATTTATTACATGGCAGGAGTGACTTCCTACAGCTTTTTCATAGCTAGCTGACCATGGGCGTGAAGAGCCCTGGCTGCTTAGCCTCTCTGCCTTGGGCTCATGTTTTTAAAATGTTTCTTACTTGATAAGATGACTTTGAGGGTTAAATAAATTAATGTCCGCGTGCTTGGTGTAAAGTAAGTAAGTGCCATATAAATAGAGAAACTCTATGACCAAACGTGGGTACTTTTGAGAGTGAGAGGGATGCTATCAATAGTCAGATCAGGCGAGGCTGGGCGTGTCCAGGGTGGTGTGGCGGCAGCAGATGAGTGGATGGAGCAACCATGGGACAGTTACACCATGGAATACTATTCGGCTGTAAAAAAGAAGAGAATCTTACCCTTTGCGACAGTATGGATGGACCTGGAGAACATTATGCTAAGTGAAATAAGCCAGTGGAAGAAATACAAATACCATAGGATTCACTCATATGTGGAATCTAATGAACAGGCTGAACTAACAAGCAAAACCAAGGCAGACTCAGAGACGGAGCGCAGGCTGACAGCTAAGGTGGGGGGTTGGGGTGGAGGGATTGAACAAAAAGGAAAAAGGACTCATGGGCATGGACAACAGTGGGGTGATTGTGGGGGGTGGGGGGGTAAGGGGTATAAGGGTATAAGAGGGATAAATGGTAGTGGAAGAATACAATTAAAATTTTTTTTAATTAAACAAATTTAAAAAACAGTTAGATCGGGACAGCAGGTATAACCCAGGACTGTCCTGGGCAGAGAGGGGCGTTGGGTCACCCTGCACATAAGGGCTCATTGGGGAAATAACGCCTTCATTTTTGTTGTTTCTGTTGCTCCCTATCCATTCCCCTCGTGATCAGAGTAAACTCTTTCAACCACGAACGCCCGTGTGCTGCTTCACTTCTGGAACCACAGAGGAAGGAAGACCTGGGGCGACAGTGTCCTCAGGAGCGGAGTTCGTAGGGCAGCATGAAGGAATCAGAAGCAGAGTTGAATTTTTGGGCTGTGGGTGTAGGGAAAAGGCGGAGCCCTCCTGCACCCCCGAAGCCAAGGGCTGGCCAGCGAGAGGCCCGGGCGGTCTGGGGGTGGGCAGCTTGTCTCAAGGGGTCGGCCTTGCCCGGTGGGGAGCGTCTGGAGCCGCTGGCGCTGGTCCTGCCCTGCAAGCGCCTGCCCTCTGCTCGCCGAGTTGGCTGCTCTCTCCCGCATTGTTTCAGAAATGTGCGGCTCCATTTGCTTCCCCAACGGGGAGTGTTTTTTCATTACCTCGAAATAGTTGTTTTTATGAACAGGGATAAACACCTGGTGGGCAGGAGTTTTATCTCCTGGTCATTCCAATTTGAGTTCCGTTATTTCTCCTGCTTACCTGGGGAGGGCAAATGTGCTTTCTCAACAGTCTTCCTGTCCCCCGTTTCCCAGACACACGCCCCATCAGATAACAGCGACGGGCCCTGGCTGCGCCTGCCCGGAATACCAATTGCGGGCAGTTCTGGCGGTGACCGTGTGCTCGGGGGGAGGGGAGAACATCTTCCCTTATCTCGAAACACTGAGGCCTGTGGTGGAGAAGGTGCCATTGTGAGATGTACGTGTGCCAGCCCGTCCCAACTCCCTGTCCTTCCAGGGAGTGACTGGAGGGGGGAGAGGGAGGGGAAGGGTGGGAGAATGAACTAGCATTTAGTGACACCTCTTATGTGCCAGTGTCACATTGCTTTAAAAAAAAAGATTTTATTTATTTACTTTTTTAGAGAGGGGGCAGAGAGGGAGAGAGGGAGAGAAACTTCAATATAGGAGAGAGACGTGGTTGTTTCTTACACGCCCCCTATTGGGGACCTGGCCCGCAATCCAGGCACATGCCCCGACTGGGACTCGAACCCGCAAACTTTTGGTTCACAGGCCGGTGCTCAGTCCACTGAGCCTACCAGCCAGGGCTCACATTTCATTTACCACTCAGCACAACCTTCGAATATAGATATTAGTCTTTCTACTTCACAGGTAGGGAAAGTGGAGTCCAAAAAGTAAAAACCACACGCCAAAGATATATCTATGGTTGGCAGGAATTGAAACCTGCTTCTAACTGATTCCAACCCCATGCCTTTTGTATTATTTCTCTGAGGCCCTGAGAGGGTGAGAATTTGCTCAGTGTCACATGGGCAGCCTAGAAGGAAGTTATATCTTTCTAGCCTCCCTTTGGGAGGGATTGGCTGGGCTAGACAAAACATGTTGGTCATGTGCTTAATTAATATATACGTGCATATATTACATATGTTGTGCATATATATATATACATTTCACATATATAGTGTGTGTGTATATATACTGCGGGTCTAAGTGTCAGGCATGGTGTATCAATTTATATGAAGAACACAGTAGAAAAGATGGGCTTGAAGTTACACACAGTAACTGATCTCAGTTTTAGACATGCTGAGCCTGAGATACAGGGTTTTCATTGGGCATTTGGATGTACACACCTGCCTGGAGCTCTGGGGGAGCGTCTGTGCAAGAAATGGAGATTGGAGACCGGTCTTCCAGTCGGTGGTGGCCACACCGCTGGCGGCGAGTGAGGCCGTGAGGGTCGTGTGAGGAAGAAGAGCACTGAGGCCGGAAGGTCAGGCTTTCCCCGTGGTTCCGGGGGCAGACAAAGGGGAGAGTTCATGAAGAAGATTAAAGATTGTCAAGAGAGGTAGGCAGGGAGTCAGGAGGCAGGGACCAACTGAGTGACATTTTTTCTATTTCCTTTTAAATGATCAGCCTATTGAGGCGCAACTCACGAGCAACCAACGCCGCCGTCTAGAGCGTCTGGTTCCCAGGAAGATGCGGCCGTCTCGGCAGCCGGCGGCCGTCCTGGTGCAGTGCTGAGGCAGGTGTGCGTCCACGCAGCCTCCACGCCGGTCCAGAGGTAGGGCGTTCCCATCATGCTGGAGGTTCCCCCATGCCCTCCCCGGGGGTACTCTCCCGCCCTGCCCGCTCTGGAAGCCCGTGATCTGATTCCAGTTACCATGGATTGGTTTCGCGTAGTCTGGAATTCCTCTCAATGGAACCGCCCGGTATATATCTTGCATATTGCTTCATCATGTTATTGCGTGGGTCAGTAACATGTTCCTGCATATTTTGGGGTAAAATTTCACTGTATGAATATCCCACAGCTGTTTATCCACTTACTTGTTGATGGACACGAGTTATTTCTAGTTTGGGGCCATTATGGATGAAGCAGCTACAAAAATTTGTGCACAAGTCATTTTGTGTATGTATATTTTTTTCATGTTTATTGTTAAAAACCTAGCAGTGGAATTGCTTGGTCAAATGCAAGTGCATGTTTAAGAGCAATCGCCTAACTTCTTCCCAAAGTGGTTATGCCATTTTAGACTTTCATCAATAATTCATGAGATTTCTGATGCTCTGTTCTCACCTTACTTGGTATTTTATTATTTTTAATTTTCAGTCATTCTAGTACGTGTGTAGGAGGACCTAATTGTGGATTTAATTTGCAGTTATCTGATGACTGATTGCATATCTTGTCATGTCTTATAGACCATTCTGTGGGTCTGTTTCATTAGAATATATGCTTGTCCTCCGGCATATATTATCAATACCTTGCATTGATTATTATACTTCTAATAAATCTTCAAGTCAAGTTATATAAGTCCTCTAACTTCATAATTCTTTTTTCAGAACTGTTTGGCTAGTCTAAGTCCTTTGAACTTCCACATAAATTTTAAAATCGACTTGTCAATTTCTGCAAAAATAAAGCCCTGCTGGGGTTTTTATTGGAATCATGTTGAATCTATCAATCATCTTGGGAATAGTTGACATCTTCACAATATTGTGTCTTCCCGCCCACTTATTTAGGTGTTCTTTAATTCCTCTCAGCAGTGTTTTCTACTTTTCCATGTATGAGTTTTGCACAAATTTTGTCAATTTTATTCCTAAGCACTTTCTGTTTTGACGCAAATTTATAATGTGCCTTGATTATTCATATTTCATGTGCTAGGGTTCATTCTGCAGACTTATGATTTTCCTAAAATTTGGAAAAATTTTGGTCATTATTTCTTCAAAAAATTGTTTTAACCTCCCCTCTCTCTTTTTCCCTTCAGTGTCCAAGTTGTCTCACAGCTGACTAATGCTGTGGTCGTTTCCTTTTGTGTTTCGTTTTGCATGTCTCCTCTCATTCTGCTTAGGGAGTGAGTAGTAGGGTCTCTCGCAGGCTTCCTTCCTCCTTGGGTGCTCTGTCTCGGCCCCAGAGGCAGAGGCTGCTCCTTCTGTCGAGCGTTTGTGTGTTTCACTGAGTTCTTTCTCTCCCTTTCGAAAGCAGTCCCTGTCCTAGTTAATCATTCTTTATACGGAGATTTCCCTGTTTAAATTAGGGCGTGGTTTCTGTGTCCCGAGTTGATGCTTACTGGCGCGCGTGTACAAGAAGGGAAGAGACATTTCAGAGGACATTGAAGACAAGAATTTCGGCCCAGGTGGAAAGGCAGGTTCTTTACAGGGAGAGGAACATCCTTTGAGCCTGGAGACCGTTAGGAAAGCTATGTGGTGGGTAATCCGAATATAGCTGCGAGGGAAGGAGGCTGAGAAGCTGAGGGAGCTCTGGGCTTTGATTTTCTCCTGGGGCAGGAGGACAGGCGACCTGCCGAGGGCTTGGGGAGAGTGAGGCAGACGTGTGATAGCCTCGGTGAACCTCACAAAGGACCAGTCTGTGCCGGAGTGCGCAGTTTTCTATATTAAGACTCAGAAGTTCAGGCTCAAGGGCAGGACAGGCAGTTGTAGAGCCGACTGTGGGCCTGGGCGTCTCAGGACTTGTGAAGGAAAGGCAGAGATATTGGTGGAGGCTGGTGAGAAATTACCCAAGCTGTTGGCCAGAGATCTAGCTGGCATCTCAAAGGCCCGGGGTTGAGGGGGAAGGGAGGATACACTCTGAGGCAATTAGAGGGTTAAATGCTGGAACTCAGTGAGGTCAAGGAGTGGGGAAGCAGGAGGACGAGAACAGAGCTGGAAAAGTTGGGGTCCCTGTGGGACACTGACATTTAGTTTTGGAGAGGCAGAGCCGTGCTAGTGATGGTCCAGGTGCGGCCTTGGGAAGCGTAGCTGAAGGCAGAGTGGAAGGTTGCTTGAAGGAGTGAGGACAGAGTCAGAGACAGGCCGGGGTTTCAGATGGGTTGGCCTGCGCAGTTATGCCTCAGGGCGGTGGGTGGGGGGGTTAATGGGGAAGCGGGGACGAATTGTCAGCTGGTGTGGGCCAAGGTCAATGACAGCACTAAGAGGTAGAGGGCAATGAGCCGTTTAGTGTGAGGAGGCCTATAGGCGAGGCTGGAAAAGTCATGGTGTGGAAGTGGCGGAGGAAGCTGGGGGCTGCTGACCCGGAGGGCACCTTGGCTGGCTGGCTGGAAGGGGGACTCGAGTGGGAGGAAGAGCCTCCTCTACGCAGAGGCTGCCGGGCAGCCAGCGTCCTTGGGCTGGGCCAGGTTTTAGCGTCAGTGAGGGGGAGGCTGTAGTGAAAGTTCCCAGAGGCTGGTGTGGGCGTAGAATTTGTTTTTAGTGGAGGGAGGGTTACCAAGGGCACAGGGGAACACGTTCAGAAGGAAAACAGTGGGAGCAAGGTGGAGAGGAGAAAGATCGCCAAGTGGCCCAGCGAAGGGACTTGAAGTACAGCACCTGAGTTTCATCCAGGTATCACAGTGCCAGGCACATAGTAGGAGCTTAAATAATATATGTGAGCACTTGGTAACATAAATACATAATGTCTGTTCCCTGCAGCTGCTGGCTTTGATTCTCTGGGCCTTAGTTTCTCCACTTGTTTACTGGGAATGCTGCTGCTTCTGCCCATCTAGTTCTGAAGTGTATAGCGGTTTCCTCTGAAAAGCCCCAGTTCTTTCCACTTGGCAGAGTGGGCCGTACTGTTATTCTGTCTCATTTCTCCGTAGGAGGGCAGGCAAAGTCAGGGCTGCATCTTCTAGTTACAACCCGGGAAAAACTGAAGTTCAGAGAGAGCAAGGAGATCACCCAGTATGACAGATTAAGATTTACCGTAAGACCGAGAAAGAAATTGGGGTGTCACTCTCCATTCCAGCCCGTTCTGTGGCTCCGGAAGCAGCCCCAGAGGGGCGGCGCGGGGGACTCACAGAAAGTGATCCCGTGCGAGCGGTGGCCAGTCGGGCTCTGTGCAAGCCGGCCTCCAGCAGGGGGCGGTGTGGAGTCGCAGAAGGCTGGCAGCCGGTTGGACTGGAAGCAGAGCCGCTGTGCCCCTGCCACCTTCGACTTGGATGGGAGAGGCTCTTCCCAGGGATGAGATCGTCCTTGGAGTGGTGCAGCCGAGTTGGGGGTCGCCTGCGCCCTCCTTCTCCATCCATCCCTCCAGACCCCTGCCGCCTGGTAGGAGGGGCAGGAGGCAAGAGGAAACGGATCCGCACGGCCTCCGTTCCCTCTTGGCCCTCAAGCGCTGAGCCTGAGTCCTGCCTGATGGGGAGTGTGGCCTGATGGAGGCGCACAGGGTTTGTGGGCTCCAAAGTGCAGCGCACCCACGCTGCGGCCGCGCGCCGGCCACTGCCGGACCTCTCCCAGCGAGCGGTAATGGGGCGTGCTTGACCTCCCTGTTCTCACGCCTTCGCCCTGAAATACACCTCAAAGCTCTGGTCGAGTACAGATGCTGAAAGTGTAAGGACTTATTATTAATGATTAATGGCTAGTTAAGAGCAAAAATGTGTTCCTTGATCTATTCCAGAGGAGGGAGGGGGAACTCTAGGGAAGGGACGGGCTGAAGATTTTCTTATTCACAGACTGGCCCTCTGGACTGTGTTCGCCTCTGCGAGGTCATAGACGAGAAAGGTAAGCATGCCAGTTTGTCACAGAACGTCGTGGGGGGGTTGCAAGCACTCAGAAAACAGAGGCCACAAAAATAACAGTAACAGACTACCATCTATTAAGCATCTGCAATGTTCCAGGAGTGCTACACATGTCACTGTAATCACCACAGCAGCCCAATAGGTTAGGTGTAATTACCTACTGTACCTAGAAATGGGACCTTCGAATCCGAGAGGCCCAGTGGCAGCAGAGGGTTGCACAGGCAATAACTAGTGATGGTCAGGTTTGAACCCAGGCCCATTTGGCTGTAATGGCCCCCGCCTTTCTCACTGTAATGTGTGGCCTTGTACAATACTTTATTAAACCTCCAAAAGCCTTTCTAAGGAGCCGTCTTAAGCTGGCTATTTAAGAATCACCCAGGGAAGTTGTTGAAATGCATCTCCTTAGCCCTGCCCCAGGGAGAACGTCGTCAGGGTTTTCCTTCCTCTTCCTTCTACGTTCCCCTCTGTTGCTTCAGTTCATGGGGCGGCAGTAATCAGTACTCGGTCTCCTAAACACATCATACCTTGGACCTGGTCTGCAAAACACCGGCAAATGCAAATTCATGTTGTGAAGCCAGGGACCCCTGAGTTTTGCCAACACAGTTCTGTACAATTAGCAGCTCCCTGTTGTCCGCAAAGGGGCACACGGTTATCCCCCTTACTCTGCGGGGGTGCAGGAACTGTGTTTGGATAGAGACAGTTCACGACTCGGAAGAAGCCTCCACTTGGGGAGGATCCGGCCCTGGGAGGGAAACAGAAACAGGAGCAGAGAACAGGTGCATTCTTGGGGTGTTAGTCACTGCCTCAGTCAATAAGTAACCACTGAGATGCTGGGCGAGGTGTTGGGGATGGAGCCTTGTATAGAGCAGACGAAGTCTCTGCTGTCCGGGAACTCTAGTTCGGTGGACTGACAGGACCTCTCCGATGACGTGGCGTCTGAGCGGAGACCTCAGGAAAGCGGTGGAGTGAACCGGGGGTTGCCGGGGGAAAGCGTACCGCCCAGAGGGACCGGTGAGTGCGAACGCTCTAGGCAGGGCTCTCGGCTGTGCTTGAGGAGCTGCAAGACACAGGTGATGGGTGAGAAGGCTGGGGTGGCGTGTGCAGGTGGGAGCGAGGCAGGAGAGGAGATGGGGGAGGAGGTACAAGCCGGGGCACGCAGGGCCGAGTGGGCCACGGTGAGAATTTGGGGTTTGCTTCTAGTGAGGGGCGATGCCACTGGAAGGCTTTGTACAGGGTGGGGATGTGATTAACTTAAGGTTCTAAGAGGATGCCCCCGGGTGCTGGGTCGAGAATGAACTCTGGAGGGGCAAGGGTGCTAGCTGGATCCCAAGGCGGGTCTCCATGTCTCTTGAATAGTTCGTCTGATTTTGGCCCTCATGTCTCTACTGTGATGGACAGATGGGGGACCCAGGCCAGGCTCATGTCCTCCATTGCCCTCGCCGCGTCTCCTGCTCCCTCCCAGTCGCAGCTCCGTGGTTATCAGTGGCTGTGAAGTTGATGGCGGTGGTGGGTGCCCCAGGGGTAGGGGTGCTGGCCGCATCAGGGGCGTCTAGATGCCAGATCAGCCCACCCAGGGTGCCCTCGTTCCACCAGAGGTAAAGCAGTTTTGACTTTAGGAGCGAAGTGGCAGGGCCATAACTCATTCCTCACCGACTTACTCGTTCTCTTAACTCTTGTTGAGTACATCCAGGGGGCCAAGCGGCGCCTGAGCCACGAGAACTAGGAAGTTTTAATAAAGCCCCTCATACCTACACTCTGCCCTAGAGGAAACTCTCAAACTAATTACTAACATTTATCAAGCACTTCTGATGGGTTAGACACTGATTTAAGTGCTTTTTATGTATTGCCATATTCAATCACTTAAATTAATGCTATTAGGCAGGTACTATTTTACTCGCCATTTTAAAGATGAGGAAGTCGAGGAGCACAGAGGTTAAGTCACCTGTTCAAGGTCACACAGCATTGAAGGGACTTGAGATTTGCGCTCAGACAATCCAGCTTCAGAGCCCAGGCTACCGTGCTCCTCAGACTAGAGGGGAGGCAGCTAAACACACGATAAAGCAACAAGACGAGTCCTCACCGGAGCTCCTGGGAGTTTTTGACATTCCTTGAGGGGCAAGGCCCAGAGCCTTTCCACGTTTGCAACCCTGTTCATGTCACCCAAGTATATAACTTGTCCCAATAAAATGCTATAAAGTACAACTAAGATTTTTAAGCGATTCTTCCAGATCCTTAATAAAAGATTAAAGTAATTTACAAAGCTATTTTCTGGCTAAGAACCATCCCTTTCTTGGACGGCTTCCCCCACTCATCATTTCCATCACAAGCTGACAGCTCCTTTTTAGGCCGTCCATTCTTCATAAGGGCAAAACCCCAAACAAACCAGTTTTCATATCAAGTAGAGGCAATGGGCTGGGATGGGCTGTGAAGGCCCGGAGGTGGGTGGGGGCTCGGCTGCCTCGTTGTCTCGTGTCTCCTTCTTTGCAAGACTCACGTCTGTGACTCAGGAAAGTGGCAAATCAGTGCAAGTCGTGGGCCTTTAGGGTCTTCCGGGAACAGGAGAAGCCACACATCTGACACCCCAGAACTCCCGGGGGTTAGACGTTGGATTCCCAGGTGCCTGGACAGCTGGGACTGAGGCCGCTAACGCTGCCCGGAGAAGACAGGGAAAGCCTCAAGGGGAACATGAGATTCGAGCTGGGCTCGAGAGACGTGGTGACAGTCACCAGGTTCAGAGGCGAGGGAAAGGTGTTCTGGTAAAGGGAAAGTTTGTGTCAAGGATCTGGGGAAGCCTTCTGGGTCTTCTGGGATCATTCCATCCTAAAAGGCGAACAATCTTGGCGCGGAATCAAAGTGGACTTTCTCTGCTTTGTAGGATATTGTAATACGTTACATCTTTACTCACAACTGTTCTCTCTCTCTCCAGCTTTACTGAGGTGTAACTGACTTGCAATCAACTGCACAGATTTAAAGTTTACACTTTTTGTGAGTTTTAGACGTACCCACGACACCACCACAATCAAGACAGTGAACATCTCCACCCCCCACAGACGTTCCCCTGGCCCCTGGGGGTTCCCTCCGTCCCTCCCTCTCCTGTTGCTCCTCTCCTGGCCCTGGGCAGCCCCCGATCTTTCTTTCTGTCACTGTAGGTTAGTTTGCACTTTCTAGACTTTTGTGGAAATGCAGTTACACAGTATGTGCTCCTTTTCGTCTGGCTTCTCTCACCCAGCACGTTTACTTTGAGATTCACCCACGTTGCTGTGTGTATCAATAGTTCATTCCCTTTTTGAAAGGATTTTGTTTATTTATTTTTAGAGAGAGGAGAAGGGAGGGAGAAAGAGAGGGAGAGAAACATCGATCAGTTGCCTCTGGTATGCACCCCGACTGGGACTGAACCCGAAACCCGGGCATGTGCCCTCACCTGGAATTGAACCAGTGACCTTTCGCTTTGCAGTATGATGCCCAACCAACTGAGTCACACCAGTCAGGGCCATAGTTCATTCCTTTTATTGCTGAGTAATGCTCCACTGAATGGATATACCACATTTGTTTTCCCATTCTGCTGATAATGGACATGTGAATTGTTCCATCTTTTGGCTATTACAAATAAAGTTGCTATGAACATTCTTATACAAGTCTTTTATGGATTCGTGCTGTCTTTTGGATGAATATGCTAAAGTATGGTAGGAATATATTTAATTTTTAAAAAGATTTCATTTATTTATTTTTAGAGAGAAGGGAAGGGAAGGAGAAAGAGGGGGAGAGAAACATCCATGTGTAGTTACCTCTCACTTGCCCCTACTGGGGACCTGGCCTACAACCCAGGCATGTGACCTGACTGGGAATCGAACCGGCAACACTTTGGTTTGCAGGCTGGCACTCAATCCACTGAGCCTCACCAGCCAGGCCTTTAATTTTTTGCAAAAAGGACTGCCAGATATTTCCAAAATGGTTGAACCGTGAAAGTTTTTGTTGTTCCACACCCTTGGCAATCTTTTTAATTTCAGCCGCACCAATATATAGTAGCACTTCATTATGAGTTTAAATTTGCATTTCCCCAATGACTAATTATGTTGAGTATCTCTTCATGTACTTATTTTTTATTTCTCTATTATCTTTTTTGAAGTGTTCAGATCTTTAGCCCATTTAAACAAATGATTGTTTGCTTTTTTATTATTGAGATTTTAGAGTTTGTTTTATAGTCTGGACACAAATCTTTTTTTTAAAGTACATTTTATTGATTATGCTATTACAGTCATCCTGTTTTTTTCTCCCCTTTATTCCCCTCCATTCTGCACCGCCCCCACCAGCATTTCCCCCATCCCTTAGTTCGTGTCCAGGGTCATTCATACAAGTTCTTTGGCTTCTCCATTTCCTCTACTATTTTTAACCTCCCCCTGTCTATTTTCTACCTACCTTTCATGCTTCTCATTCCCTGTACAGGAAATACAGGGAATACATATCCCTCATTCTTCCCGCTTCCCGTCCCTGCTGCTAACCCTCCATGTGATTTCTGCTTCTGTGAGTCTGTTCTTGTTCTAGTTGTTAGATTTTTTGTTATTTTTTAAGGTTCAGTTGTTGATAGTTGTGAGTTTTGATCATTTTACTGTTCAAAGTTTTGATCTCCTTCTTTTTCTTAGATAAGTCCCTTGGACACAAATCTTTCATCAGATATGTGTTCTACAAAGAATTTCTCCTAGCATATGGCTTTTTATTTCATTCTCCTAGCAGTATTTTTCACAGAGCAAAAACTTTAATGTTGATGTCCAATTTATCAATTTTTTATGGATTGTGTTTTTGATGCCTTATCTAAGAAGTCTTTGCCTAACCAAGTTCACAAAAGTTCTCTTCTAGAGGTTTTATAGTTTCAGTTGTTTTTCACTGAGACATAATGCACACACCATAAAACTTATTCTTAAAAGTACCCCTTTCCGTTGTTTTTAAATATAGTCACGCAGTTATGCAACCCTCACCACTCATTCCAGAACATTTTCCTCACTTCAGAAAGAAACCCTATACCCATTAAGCTGTCACTCCGCATTTCTGCCCCCTCCTAACCCTGGCAGCCACTAATCTACTTTCTGTCCCTGGATTGGCCTGTTGCGGACATTGAACATAAACACTATTACACAGTGCGTGGCCTCTGTCTCTGACTCCCCCACTCAGCATCATGTTTTCAAGTTCATCCACACGTCAGTACTCCAGCCGTTTTTATGGCTGAGTAATATTCCGTTGTACGGATGTACTGCATCTGGCTTATCCATTCATAAATTGGTGGGCGTTTGGGTTATGTCCATTTTTGGCTATTGTGAACATTTGTGTATGAGATTTTGTATAGACACATGTGTTCAGTTCTCTTGGGTATGTACCCAGGCGTGGAAATGCTGGCTCATATGGGGATCTCGCCAAACTGGTTTCTGAAGGGCCTGCGCTATGTTATATCCCCACCGGCAGTGTGTGAGAGTTTCAATTTCTCATCCTCTCCAGCACTTGCTGTGGTCCTTTTTAAAATATTTATAGCAACCCTGGCTGGTGTAGCTCAGTGGATTGAGTGCAGGCTGCGAACCAAAAGTGTCGCAGGTTCGATTCCCAGTCAGGGCACATGCCTGGGTTGCAGGCCACGGCCCCCAGCAACCGCACATTGATGTCTCTCTCTCTCTCTCTCTTTCTCCCTCCCTTCCCTCTCTAAAAATAAATAAATAAAATCTTTAAAAAATATTTACAGCCATCCTGGCGGGTGTGACGTAGTACGTCATTGTGGTTTTGGTTTGCATTTTCCTAACGACTAACGATGGTGAACATTTCTGCAGCCTCCATCGATATGGCCATGTGATTTTGTTTTTTCAGCCTGCTGATGTGATGCAGCAGCACATTGATTTTCAAGTGCTGAGCCAACTTTGCATCCCTGGGATAAATCCCAGTTTGTCATGGTGTATAATTCTTTTTACATATTGTTGGATTCAATTTGCTAATATTCTGTTGAGGATTTTTCCATCTATGTTTGCGAGAGATACTATTCTGCAGTTTCTTTCTATAATATTGTTGTCTAGTCTGGGTATTGGGGTGATGCTCATCTCATAGGATGAATTCATATTTTGATTTACATACTTACATATATACATTGCCCATATTTCTCTTTTTGCGTGTGCTCGTCTGCTTTTTGAGTTGAACATAGGAACCAAAAAGTGTGCCCACTAGGCACAATATATACGTAATCACACTCAGTATCTCCGTCCTGTGTGATGGCAGCGGAAGGGCTGGAATTGGCACCGGGAACAGGAGACAGACAGTGAGGGTGACCGGTTACTTGGGTTTAAACTTCACAGTGTGGTTGAACGTGAGCCACTGCCTTTGGGCACTGAGCACCTGGTAGTCAAGGATGCTGGGTTGTTCCAGGAAGCTCCAGCCCTCCAGCCTTTAGTAGCTCTTCCCTGGAAGGGGTGAGCCGCAGCTGCCAGTGGGAAGTCACTCTCTGGGCTGCAGAAGCACTACTCGGGGGTGAACGAGAGCGAGGCTAACCTGTCAGAAGGAGCAGAAGCTTGGGCGGCAGACTGTGGGGGCCCTCGGTGGGTTCTCCGGGAACCAGACCCCGAGAGGGAGCTGGGAGCACACAGTGGGAGCAGCACCTGTGAAGGGAAGAGGGAGGGAGTGGGCCTGGCCTGGGGGAGGTCCCAGCCTGGATGCAGACCTGTCCCTGCAGGGGGCACCCTAGGGCGAAATCGCTAGTTAAAGCAGTCAGCGCGGGTAGGAGAGGGGAAGGCACCATCCCGCTCAGCCATTGCCTGGAGGCTGCTCGGAGAAAAGCGTGGCTGTGGCTCAGAAGCCAATGGTGGGTCCCGGAAGGAGCTAACTGCTGGGTAGGTAGGCAGGCAGCACAGCCTTTGTTGAAGGGGCAGGATAAACAGCAGATCTCCAGGGACACTCTCCAGACAGACCTGAGGTTCCAATCCCAACAGCGTGGGACCTGCGGCCAGTGACCCTGACCTGCCTTCGCCTCTGTGAAATGGAGGAAGGCCTCTCCTGCACGCTTGTGGGAGGATTAAATAAGACGAGGGTGAACTCGGTGTCTGATGCAGCACAGGCGCTGGACGTGTCCCTCCCTTTCCCCCAGCTGGACGCCAGCCAAGGGAACATCCTGTTCCAAGAAGCGGCTCACGCCCCGCTCTTTGTAAACTTTGTTTCCCCTCGCTTTCCGCCGGGGCAGTGGTTTCAGCCTCTCCCGTCCTCCGGGACACAGAAACTAAACATTAGAATGCTGCGGCACACCAAAAACTGTATTTTTTGCTGCTCTGACAAAAAAAAATAGGTATAATTTTGATTCATTCACACTGGACAGCTATTGTGTTGGCTGTTGTCATTTTTTAAAACTTGACAGTCTCAGGGAAAAGAGGTCAGTGCCCCTGACTAAGCAGTCAGGTTTTGAGTGCTTTAAAAATTCCCGTGGCATGCCGGTAGGAAATTGCTGCTCTAGGGGACCCAGCCCCTGTGGCAGTTTCCTGGCCCCCAGGACATGCTGCCTCCATGTCCTGGCCTGGGCTGTCCCTGACTTGCGCCTCTCCCGCCTTTCCTGGGGGGCAGACTCACAGCCCTCCGTGGCTGCGGGCCCTCCCAGCGGGGACCACTGGCTGGTGTTAGGAAGAGGTGGGGGAGTGCTTCCTAGAATAGACCAGAAGGAAGCAGCTTGCACCATCTCTGTCAGTGGCCTGCCAGTGCGTTCCCGTGCTGATTCCTGTAAGAAGACACCCGTGTTCCTTCCTAAGTGCCTCCTTAAAAGCCTGAGGACAGGTTCCCCTCCTCCACGAAGGGTAGGGTCCATCTCTATCCTTGGAGGTGAGGCAGCATCCGAACGGGAGGGAGGCATTGTCTTTCATCTGGGCGCCCTGGCCCGAGGGACGCGGGTCTCCAAGGGCCAGTTCCTTCCCGCGTGCATGTAAGTGGGCCCCATTTACTGGGGAGTCTCCACTCGGAGCACAAACACCAGCCGGTTTTATCTCTTCCAGTAACGGCCTGGCCCAGCTGTGTCCTGCCAGATCTCCTTCCTGCCGGGGAGCAGCTCCCTTAATGACGTCTTGGTCTGCTTCCACAACTCTCCAGCCACTTTCAGTTACTAGAACAGTCTCCTCATTCCAGTAATTAGGACTCCGTCTTTGACTTTTTTAAAACTTCCATTGCAAGCGTGATCCAGAGCTTTTCTCCCTTCCCTCCAGCACAAGCTAGAGCTTGCTCGGCCTCGGCCATTCGGGGCCATGGCGGGTGGCTTGGTGGCCCCTTGGCCCCCTCTTCAAGGCCTCAGCATCTCTGTTTGAGGCTGGGGGCGGGGGAAGGGAGAGGCCTTTGTAAAAGACTTACGAGAGCAGAGGGGCTGCCTGTGTCCTTGACCCCTTCCTGGGTCTCTCAGATGATAGACATTCTACCCCAGGCTCCTCCATTGCCCTTTCCCCTCCTGGTCCCACCCCCAGCTGCACCTCCCTGGGGCGGCACCGGTGCCAAGGGCTCCCAGTGACTCCAGTCTCTGGCTTAGGCATCTGTCTCCTCGATCAGCAGCAGCCTGAGCAAACCTTTGGTCCCTGCCCTTGAGCTGACTCCTGTGCATTTCCACAGAGCCTGCTGGGGTGACCGTGGCCTTCAAGGGCCACACAGACCTGGGGTGGGAGAGCTGCCCCCCCGCCCCCCCCGCCCCCGTCTTCTCATGCTGCGCCAGGTCCCTTCAGGCCCTGCTGGGTGAGCTCCTGCTACATTCCAGGGTAAGCCTGGACCTCAGGGCAGGGGTAGCAAGCACTCTGCTTTTCCTTCCCACTGTGGGGAGCGGAATAGAAAGAGCTAGGGCTGCAGCCCTAGGTTCCCGGATCGAAGGGCTCTTTGACAATGCTCTCTGGTGGGGCCTGGGCACCCTCTTCCTCTTTGCATGGGGCAGGAAAGCTCCATCTCTTCTCCACGGAGGAGAGGAGGGCCTGGCCTCTCCCCACAGGCCTGCCGACTCTCCTCACAAGCCTGTGACTCTCCTCTTCTCTGTTTTTTGCCCATCCTGACTAAGGTGGGGAGGGTGCTGGTTTCGTGAAGGATCCTGGTGCCCCACTGGCCCTGCGTGGGGGCGCTGGCCCCATCTGCCGGTGATGTGCTCTCTGGGGTCACTTGGCTCCTCCTGTCCTGCTCTCGAGACCTCGGCTAGAGCTCCGTTGTAATGGGAAAACACGTGAGGATTTGCCCAGCAGTAGACAAGAACGTCCTGTCTCCTAAACTGTGTTGCAGTTGCTCTTCCTTCTGGAAGGATTCCTTGATTTAAATCCCGTCAGACCGAATTCCGTATGGCCGTGCACCCCCTCGGCACGCAGGCTCTCAGTTGGCAGTGAGTTCAGGGGCGTGTGAGTGTTTTTAAATGTGTCCTGACTGGTTTTTATGTGCCGTCAGCATCGCTGGTGTCTGTGGAGCTCTAGCCACGTGCCGCCTACTGACATCTAAATACGCAACGTACTTGGTCTCACTCAGTCCTCACACCGCAGTCCGGGGACCTCTGTGCCGTCACTACTGTGTGCACTTAACAGATGTGAAACTAAATGGAGATAAAATTGCTAAATAGCTTTTCCAAGGCTTATAACCAGAAAGTGATGGAAACAGGCCGTCTGAATCCCAAAGGTGCACCCTCTACCAATATCCCGTTCTTCCTCCTCGGATTTACACAGCTGTCCCTCTGCCCCTCATCGGTGCCCCCCACCCCCGGCCCGGTCACCCCTTATGCCCTAAGTAAGTGCTTGTAGATGAGTGTGAATTACTCTCCACAGTAATTTTTGTTGGCACTAACAGAATCTACCCAGCTGGGGCTTGTGCAGGAGCTGAACTAGCCACAGTGAGCCTGTGGTCAGCAAGTGGTCCTGGGGCCCGACTCTGTGACCGTGTGGAGGTCATGGGCACAGACCCTTTGGACAGAAGGCTGAAGATCCCTCATCACACCCTCCTCTAACATGTTTAGGTTCCTCTTCCCCCCAGAGTCCTGGAGTCCTGGCCACGCACTCCAGAGTAGTGCGCCTGAGCAATCGTTTTCATCTGCAAAACGAGAATTCTGTCCTTTGTGTAGTGCCGGGCCTTCCATAGATGTCTCCTGTAGCCAGCCCGAGTGGAGTGAGTGGAGAGACGTTATGGTTCTCAGCTAACGGGTGAGGGCTCTGGGCGCCGAGGTTAGAGAGGTGCCTGAGGTCACGTGGCTTAGGTGCACTTGCTGGGACTGGGGCCCAGAACCAGATTTCTGCCTCCTCTCCATCATGCTGCAGGCTCCTCCTCAGTGCCCTTCCCCCGACACCCTCGGGCTCCTGCTGCCCCCTTGCTGTGGGCTCTGCACACTAGTGGCTGTTGCCTTTCTCCACTTTCAGCCGAGCCCACGCGCCTCGGCCCTGTCTCTTCCTCGGGCCCCCGGCCTCTCCCACATCCTCCCTGCCTCTCCCAAGGCCCGAAGTGCCTCTCGGGGTAGGGGGGCAGGGGGACGGGGCCTCGAAGCTTTCTGACCCCAACCCCCTGGAGGGGCTGTTCACTGCCTGTCTTGGCCCTGGTCACAGTGGATGCTATTTATAGTCAGACAGATGCATTTCCAAACAGAACAGAAAACAAATAGCTGCGGCGACGGAGCGGTAACAAACCCTGCCGGCTCGCTGCCTGGAAGACAGGCCTGCACAACTAATTAACCTGGGCAGGCCTCCGCGGCGCTGGGAAACGAGCTTGGATTAATGCCGCCCCTCTCAGCCGCTCAGCCGGCCTCTCGGTCTTCACTGGGCGGCAGCGCACGAGAGACGCTCAGAGGGTCACAGGGGCAGCGAGAGGCCGGGGTGGACGGAGGCACGCAGAGCAGGACAAATACAGTTACCCACCTGTCTCCACACACACGTGTGTCATCTCAGCTAGACTCTGGGTCCTGGAAGGACAGACAGAAAGACAGACAGACAGACCACGTTTCTTTGTATAGTGGTAAGAGGAGAAAATAGAGCCTGTCTAGCTCAGAGCACATTTTTTTTCTGTACCACTGAAGTCACAGAGTCAGACGCTTCTGGACTGAAAGGGGCTTGTAAGAGGTCATCTATCTAATTCAGTGGTTTTGAGATTATTTTTAGCAGCAAAAAACGCCTTCCTGATATGAAATCACAAGCAGAAGCGCCGTGTGCAAGACAGATGAAAGCAGCAGAGTGCTGCCCCTGGCGGGCTGCCCCTTCTCCCCGCAGAGCCCCCTGTGTCCTCAGGGTCCCCGGGGCTTGGGGAAGCACCTGGGAAAGCCAGGGCCGCCTGGCCTCTGTGCGGCAGGGCTTGGGAGGGTCCCTGGTTTCAGGACTGCATTCAGGTTTTTCCCTATCCGGGGAGTCCCCAAAGGGTAGGGTGCTAGAGAGGCCCCACATGCTTGGAGAAGAGGTGGGCTACCTAAGGGGACACCTCCTCTCTCCCCCCAGAACCTGCTGGGCTCTGGAACCCTGATGCTCACCCTTCCCGGGCCCTTTGCTGGAAGGAACAGGAGGCCGGGCTGGCTGACCTTCACTGACGGCGTCTCAGTGGGTGGCCTCTGTGAATCCTCAGCTGACCCAGACTTTGCTTGGCACAGCGCACATCAAGTTCAGGAAGGGGACCAAGGGTATGAGCAGGACCCCTCTCTTCTCTGGAAGATTAAATGGTGGCCAGAGGGGACTTCCCGAGAGACCCTCCAGGAACGTCCTGTAGGGACATTGTGCTTCCTCTGCTTTTTTTTTTTTTTCTCCAGGGGGCGGTGAGGCAGTGGCCTGGGGCTAGAAACCATCCTGGATTGCCACTGTGGGGATTTGACTGGCTTCCTTTGAAGGGGGGTGCCAGTTGCTTCTGGCAGCCTTGTTTTCAGCCTTGAGAGCAGAGCCCAGCGGCTGGTATAAGGGCCTCTCTCGGGGTCAGTGGTGGGTGATGGGGGGGGCAGGAGGGAGAGAGGGAGACCAGGCACTGCTTGGAGCCTCCCCGTCTCCGATGCACCCCAACTGCTCTCGGCTCAGGCGTGGACAACAAGGGGGCCCAGTGAGGAGGAGAAATCAAGAAGTACAGCTTTTTTTGAAGGAGAAATTATAAATTGCAATTTAATCACATAATCACTTTGACACTCTCAAGCAAGCTAATTTCTTCCCTTGCCTCATTTCATCCACTCGGTGAGATGAATCTTAATGAATAATGTCCTATGAATATTTAATTTTTGATCAATTTGAATTTTCTCTGGCATACCTGCTGGAGACATAAATCAACTCCTCTTCTACCCAGCAGAGTGAACTTGGACAGCGGCCTGGGTGGATCTCTGCCCGCGGCCGCAGCGGCGTGCTCCTTAAACGCTCTGGGGTTCTGGTTCGCCACCATCTCCACGTGGCGACGCTGACTTTCCTGGAAGCATGGCCTGAGCCAGGCTCTCTGACTCTGCCCTACGGCAGAGGCCTGAAGCCGGCGGCTGTCTAGGCAGACCAGACGCTTCTGAGAATGGCTCGGCTGAGGTGGCCCTCTCGCTCCATCCTTGTTCTTCGGCGACTTGGAGAAGCCTGAAGCCTACCCCCTGACGCGGACTGGATCCTCCCCGGCCCCTCGGGCGCGTGCCCAGAGAGGCGGCGTTAAGAAGTGCCCTTCCCAGCCGTTCGAGAAGGCTGTTTCCGTGAGATAATGCCTGACATCTGTGCGGTGCCGCACAGCTTCCGAAGCGACTTCACAGACATCTTTTCATGTCTGACAACACCCCGAGTTCGACGGCTCCGTGCCGACCCTGGGGCGAGGGAGCGTGGCTGGACGGCGCCCCTCTCCCCCTCCGTCAAGGGGGGAGTACAGGAACTCACACCCGGGAGGGACTGCTGAGTTCGAAACCAGAAAAACGGGCTTAAACCGAGCAGTCCGCAAACAAGGGAGAGTGAGGGTCTGGGACTGAGACCCGGGGGAAGAAAGGGCGGCATCCTTCATCGGCAGGCTGGCGGCGGGCTGGCGGTGGCTCAGTGGCGGTGGGGGCATTGTTTTGGATTAACAACTGTTTTTTCTCTTACAGTTTGCATTCAATATCATTTGACACTAGTTTCAGGTGTACAGCATGGTGGTTAGACAGTCACACACTTTACAAAGTGACCCCCCTGATATTTCCAGTCCCCACCTGGCACCAGCCGCAGTTACTGTAATATTATTCAGTGTGCTCCCCTAATTTGTACTTTACATCCCGTGACTATGTGGTGACTAACTACCCATCAGTGCGTCTCAATCCCTTCCCCTCTTTCACCAAGAGTTCCTCCTCCCTCCCCCAATGATGCTGTTTTTGAGGAAATACTTTAATTGCCTAAAGGAGATAGATAACATATTTAAAATGTATTTTGAATGTATTTCCATATCCTGTACATTTTGTTTTATTGGAGGTCCCCACCCATGACAGCAGTGAGTTTCGGTGCTTCAGGAAGGGCAGGAACCACCTGGAACAGAGAGGTCATTGCTGAGCTTTAAATGTCAAAGGCGACCTCCTGTTTTTGAGTCCATTAGGACCAAACAGCCCTTAGAGTAAGGTATTCCAAAGCAAGAGAAAAGTTTTCTGAGTTTCTTACCTTCTCCATAATATGATCATAGAATTTCCTTATGAACTGTAGGGCAGAGATAATTCAGACTGTGGGGTGATGGGTGTGGCCTGGGAGGCTCACCCCTTCTCACCTGAGGGCTGTGGAGGAAGAGCGGAAAGGTGGAAGAAGGACAATGGAGTCGGAATCCAGTTTCCCTGTTTTCCACTCCCATGGGCCAAATTACTGGACATTGTAAAAGCATCCAGATGACATGGAGGAACCCGAGAACATGGGGTTTAACCCCTCCCGCCTTACAGTCCCCTCCGTGGGCCACAGGAGTTTAAGCGAAGGCGGTGGGTGAGTGGATGAGACTGGGGCGGTGCTTCTGTCTCCGTGGCCTGGGCGCGTCGCACAGGAGAACTGAGACGTTCTTCCTTGCCCGGGCTGAGGTGCCGAGAGGACCTGTGGTGGAGCAGAGGGCTGAGGTTGGGACAAAGAGTTCCCAGAGGAGGGGGCTTTGCACGTGGAGAGAAAGGACCAGAATGACGGTCTTCAGTTGTGGGGTTAGTGTGTCATCCTGACGAGTCAGCTGGAATCAGCTGCGGACAAGTCTGGGAGTCAGACTGGATGAAAAACCCAGTGGCAGGGGTCAGCTTTGACCAGCGGTTAGTTCTCTCGCCCCATTATTACAAGACCCAGTAACCTCCGCCTTTGCTGTAGCTACCGTTCAGGAAGAAGAGCTGGGTGGTAGCGGAGTGTTGCAGAGGGGTTTGGGAAGTCTGAACATTTATCCTGAGGAGACCCTGCCATCCCAAGAGATGTTTCTGTCAATATAACTGATTTCCAAGATTAACTCCTTGTCTTGACCCGAGTTTTAGGAACACAGAACTTCAAACAAAACGTACATGCTAAAGCTTCACCGAATAGCGCAGTCCTAATGCAGCGAGAACGAGGGAAGAAAGAAAAGGGAGGCAAGGAGGGGGAGAGGGCGTTGCTGAGCTGGCCACCGCCTCACGAGCAAACCCATTCGGCAGTTCGGATGCAGGAGACTCCTTCCAGATGCGTCCTGGGAAACCACCACACCTCCCAGTAGCCTGTGGATGGTTTGAGTTTGTTTGCTGTTTGCGACTCGTTCCTGTCTCTCAATGCTCAACATTTGTCTCTAATGTTTATTGCTTTAAGCCCCAGTTGGTGAAATGATTTGTTATTGAGCAGTGAGTAAAAATACACCCTTATCTGAGCCTGGAGGTGGTAGAGGAACCAGAACCTTCGTGGGTCCTGCCTGCTGAGTCCGGCCTGGACACCACAGCTGCTGTAGCTCCTGCCATGGCAGGGACAATGAAGGGACTGGAGCTCGGGCTTTGGAGAAGGCGGAGCTGCGTAGCAACGATCAGGAGGTGGGGCAGCGGTGGAAGCATGGGGCAGAGGGGGGAGGCATGCAAGCCTGGGGGGACCCACATGCCGCGCCGACCCCTCTAGGCTCCTCTTCCCCAGTCCTGCACTTCCTGCCGGCATGGAGTCTCCAGAATCACTGCTAAGCGTGTTATCAAGAAACAAAGAAGCCACAAATGTTTCCCATACCTGCTTAATAGTGTGAGTAGAATCGAGACAACTGTTTTTGCTAAAATCATAAATTCCTGTTGCAAGTCAATGAAAACAATATGGCAAAAGCACAAAAGGCAAAGCGAGCATCATCCCACAACCCATGATCCAGAGAGAGCACTGTTACATAACTTAATTGTTTATACTCACTCCTTATGTTGACATTTTCCCTTGCCAATGACTACCTCCCCCTATCATTTCATCGAGTGCAGTGAGCTGGATGTTCCATGAAACTCCTCTAGGGACAGTCCGCTGCTAAATGGCGGACTGTGTGTGTGTTCCCGCCCTTTCCATACAATGCACGAGTGCACGGTCGAGTTGGCACGACAGAGAGGGAATTTGTTACAGACAAGAAAGCAAAACAAAACAAGGAAATATGACTTTGAAAGAATAAGTGAGCTGTAGAGCTAGTGTTTGTCTTGGAGCCTAAATGGGGTTGAATAGGTGGTACAGCTGTACACACGGCAGATGGCCGGCATAGCCCAGGGCTCCAGCAGGCTGAGTTCTCACACAAGGCTGGGGTCCCTGAAGGGGGAACCTCCTGGTAGGGGAAGGAGAAAACACACACTCCATATAAAGGAAAGTTGGTGAAGATACTTGCTAGTCATCCTTGACTTGTGATGGAATAAAAGAAAAAACATGAAGAAAATGGTTTTGTTAGAGAATTCCTAAACTTAAGTCTGAACTGACCCAAAACTACATCCTGAAAATGTAAAATGTCCTAGATTGGTGAGAACCCCTAGTGCTTGAAAACAAAAGCAAATCCTCCATGAAAAAAAAATGTCAAACCTTGGCCTCAGAGAATTATCACAAAGTTCAAGGGTTGTGGACTTCACTCAAACTTCAACAAACACATGTGGAAATAAATTACCCTTAATGAGATTCCATAGAAACAACAAATTCCTCAAAGACTAATGACCTTTACTTATCCAAATAGACTAGAAAATAAATGTATTTAATTTGTTTATACACTAAGAGAGAATATTGGATATATAATGATGGAACAAAAGACTCTCAAATAACCTAGTAAAATATAAAGGAAAGAAACACAACTTTTAGAAAATAAAAGGTATACTCATGGAAATTAATGACTCCATGGATGTGATAATAAATTAGACGCAGATGAAGAGAGGATTGGTGATCTGGAAGGTTTTCTGAAGAGTGACCTGGGATACAGTAGGAAGCAAGCTACGACAGAGGTGGGTGATGTGAAGGACAGAGTGAGGAGACAGAACGCACCTGGAACTGGAGTGTCCGAGGATGACAGCATGGGAGAGAAGTTTTAGTAGCGATGACTAAAAACCTTCCAGTTGTCATGAAAGATACCAGTCCTTAACTTTAACAAGCCCAGTGAGTCCAAACCAGGATAAAGGAAAAGAAACTTGTATTTTGTAGAAAACAGAAGAACACTAAAGACAAAGAGAAGACCCTCGAAGTAGCCAGAGTGAAAAGATACATTACCTACGAAGCGATGGTAACGCCACCTGTGACTTAATTCTCAACAGCAGCTTGGGAGCCAGTCAGCTACGGAAGGGCAGCTTTGGAGCCCTGAGTGAAAATATTATGCTAGAATTCTACTCCCACTAAAATGATCTCTAAAACATGAAGGCAAAATAGAGACAATTTTAAAATGTCTTTTAAAAAAACAAAACTGATGAATTGATTATAAGAGACACTTTCTGAAGGAACTTATTCAGCTATATCCCAGGAAGAAGAAAAATGATCCCAGAAGTGTAAGAATGAATGGTGAAGAAAGAAAATGGTAACTCTATAAATAAATGTGGATTGTATAAGGTAATAATAATTAACTTGTGGGGTTAAAATCAAGTTAGAACTAAAATTGTGGGCAAAAGTACACACGTCGAGCATATTTAGATAGCAAAAATAGAATAAATGAAAATTTTCTTTTGAAAAAGGTACATAGTATGGGTTAAAACAATAACGGAGCCCTGACTGGTGTGGTTCAGTTGGTTGGGCATGGTCCCACAAACTGAAAGGTTGCCGGTTCGATTCCCAGTCAGGGCACATGTCTAGGTTGTGGGCCAGGCCTTTGGTTGGGTGTATACAAGAGGCCACTGATTGATGTTTCTCTGGCACACAGATGTTTCCTTCCCTCCTCGTCTCTCTAAATAAATAAATAAATAAATAAATTTTTAAAGTATAAAGGAAAAAAGGGAATGTTTAGCACAAAATTGGGGGTAGTGGGTTCCTGGGGAGGGGGAGAGGTGCGGGTGAAATGGGTTAGGGCATGTAGAGGGCTTTGAAGGTGTTTGTGACTATTCTGAATATCCAAGATAGATGTTGCATATTTAGCGGGTTAGTTTTTATTACGGCAATTTGAAAATGCAAACATGTATTATACACACTTTGTGTGTGGTATAGTAAAAATGGAATGACTGGGAGTGACATTGCAATGACCAGTGTCACAACACGTGTCTTTTCCCACACCTAAGGTGAATTTCTGGAAAGAAGATTTTGAGGAAAAGGGTGAATACAATGAGTTTTCTTTGACACTTACTGCCGACCTCCCTCCACCTCCCCAAAGGGTGTAACAACTTACACAGCTACCAGCAGGTACGTGAGAGGGTGCATTTCCCTGTGCCCCAGGGCCACTCCCTTTGGGGCGCCCTTTCCACAGTACACTCTCACAGGGCAGCGTGGTGACTGCTGCTGTGCAGAGGCTGGAGTGGCATGAGCACCTCAGGAAGTAGGTGGTATCATTGTTTTTGTAAAATATTTTATTTATTTACTGTTTTAGAGAGAGAGGGAGGGAGGGAGGTAGCGAGGGGGAGAAACATCAGTGTGTGGGAGAAACATCAGTCGGTTGCCTCCTGCACGCCCCCCACCGGGGACCCGGCCTGCGACCCAGGCCTGGGCCCTGACGGGATATCCAGCTGGAGCCCTTTCGGTCTGTGGGGTGACGGCCAACCCACCGAGCCACACCTGCCAGGGCCAGGTGGTATTGTTCATCTCATTTCACAGATAATGACACTGAGAATCACTGAGGCCGAGGGATGTGTCCAAGTTCACACTGTGACCGAGTCTCTCTCCTAAGGGCACGGTCAGCTCGGTGAGCTCGCTGCTGCCCACCGCTGGATGAATTCCGCCGAGCCCTGTGTCGTCGGGTCAGCCTGCTGCCGCACGCGGGTCCGGCTTTCCCAGGCCGGTCCAGCCAGAAACGGAGGCAGAAAGGATGCATGCTCTGCGGGGTGCCGGTGGAGGCAATGGCGTCGGCATCGTCGGGGAGAAAGGATTTCGGCATTTCCATCCTCAAATCTGAGCACCCCCCCCACCTTGGTCCTTGTTGCTCAAACCCCTGATTATAAACTTTGGAGACAGAGGGCTGGAGTGTCTGGCACATGGAACGCGCTCACTAAATATTTGCTGGCTCTCGAATCAACTCCAGTTGATATTTTAGTCACCAAACACGGAGGGAGAGTGTCCCTTTGGCTGGGCCAGGTTTCTGCCTCTGCGTGAAGTGGGCCTGGGCCAGGGCCGGACAAGGGGTGAATTGATCCTCTGAGGTGCCTTCCTGCGGAAAAGGCAGGGACGGTCAGCGGGCAGGGCGGCAGTTCCCAGCCCCCACCCGCGCTCCCTCGAGGGCTGTTGGCTTTCTTTCCTTCAGGTGATTAGTAGGGAGATTGGCAGGCAGTAGCGGCAATGGAAGTTTAATGTTCTGGAAACCCAGCCTTTTTCCTTTTGCTCTGAGATTTTCCCTGGCGAGCCAGGGAAAGGTCTTGCAGCTTAATAGGCAGGCGGGGATGGGGCCTGAGAGTTTTGCCATCAGACAGGAATTTGTCATCATGCCACCAGGCCCAGGCATGGCTGCATTTGTGGGGGAGAAGTGGCCGGTGGGGGGAGGGAACGGCTGTCTTGGGCACATTGTGTCTGTCAGAGCACTGAGACCCTGCGGTGACCCCGAGATCTGACCACACATCCATCTCTTTGGCCCACTCAGCCCAAGGCAGGCCAGGGTACCTTTGGCTCACAGCCTCTGGAGAGAGCAGACGGAGTCGGCTGGTTCTGCTGCTCTGCATCCTCGGTGCCCAGCATCCTCGGGTGCATCCTAAGTCCTCGTGCCTATTAGACACGGGGCCTGGTGCAGCTGGAAGGGCTGACGGCCCTGGGTCACTGCCCTGCCTCAGTTCCCCCACCGGCTGTCTGATGTTGGGGCCGCCACTCTGCTCTGTCTCCCTCCTCTGGAATTAGGGCAAGAATACCCACTTCTAAACATTAAATGAAATTAAACGGTGTGCGCACCTGGCTAGCCCTCTTCTTGCCACCGAGAGAGGCAGAAGAGGGAAGTGGTAGAGATCACACCTCTGCAGCCACGTTTCCTGGGTTCCATTGCGGCTCCGGCAGCTGTGCAGCTGTGGGAACTCGGGCAGGCCGCGCAGCCCTCTGAGCCGCGGTGTCCCGGTGGAAGATGGGGACAGCAGTGATACGTACTTTATGGAACCATTGTGACGACTAAATGACTTAACATTCTTACAAGGTTTAAAGCCGCTCCTGGCATGTACTGAATGCTATACAGACTGGTTTTTGTTTATTTTTATCATTTCCCCTTCCCCCTTCCCTCCCTCCCTCCCTCCCTCCCTCCCTCCCTCCTTCCCTTCCTTCCTTTTCCTTTCCTTCCCTTCCTTCCTCCCTCCCTCCCTCCCTTCCTTCCCGCTTGCCCCTGTGCTGTTTGCTGGGCTGTATAAAAGCCATTTTCGGTCTCGATGTCCTGATTTGTAACCAGTGTTTCTTGAGGTCGCCGATCTTATCCGGGGCCCTAGACCCTAACTCAGTCTCACTCCCCTGGGGGAGGGGAGACTGCCCCCAGGAACCCTACCTAGATGGAGCCCATCTAGATGAATGATTCCAGAACCCACTGCCATCTTTATGATGCTGATCACTGCCTCTGCTCCGTCCATCCACCCCCCTCTCAGGGGTCTGGGGCCGCCCTCTCGGCCCCATGGCTTCTGCTTGCCCTGTGGCCTCTCGTACCCAGGGAGGCCAGTGTCCCAGCAGGCCCCAAGGCCAGGTCCACCTGAGGGGCATGGGGTCTCGTTGGGCTGGCCTTCATTTCTGGTGGGCCTAAGGTGGGCAGGGGCCCAGAGCTCCCTGGCTTTTGGTTCCACATTCCATCCAGATCCTCCTCACTGCCAAGGGCAGGCCCTTTCTGGGGACCTCTCATTTCCTCAAGGCAGTCGTCTCAGTGCTAAGTAGCTCCACCGAACAGCAGCGACGATGACACCGGCGAGAGCAGCTGTCCCTTGCCGAGCGCTCCCTGCACGCCGGGCTGCTGTCCGCACGTCATCCCCAGGTTTTACAGCGACCCTGGGAGATTGTTGCATCACCTCCACTTTACAGGTGCAGAGGAGGGGTCTGGGGAGGATAACCCATTTGTGAAGGGGTGCAGCCAGGGGCAAACCCCGCCTGCTCGCAGCCGTGGGGGGCGGAGCTATCGCGGGCGGAGGGACGCACACCCTGCTGCCCCTGTTCCACGTGTTCGCCTGCAATGCACTGAGGAAGCTGTGGTGCCACTTTTCAGTTTTGTCTTCCCCGGGCCGCACATCCTCCACTGTTTGCTGAGCCCTGTGATAGTGTTTCTGGGCGTCTTAGCTTCTTGGCTTCCCCCTTCTGGACATGCATGTTGATCAGCATCTCGTGATGTGTTGAATTCTGCTTTTCTGACGCAGAGCTGGAGGCGTGGCCAGTCTCCCGTGGCAGCGTACTGGTCTCAGAGCGCAGGCTTTGCAGCTACACTGACCCGGGTTCAAGGATGGTCTCTGCCCAGTCTCCTCACTGTGTGATTGTGGTCGACTGCCGTTTCCCACGATGGCCGCCGCACTGCAGCCCGTCCCACGTGCTCTTCTTGCAGCGTGACCACACTCTTCCCATCCAGCACTGGGGCCTGTTCTCCTCCCCCTTGAACCTGGGCAGGTCTCCGTGACTGCCATGAGCAGTAACAGATGGCACAAGTGACGCCGTGTGCCTTTGGGGGCGACACCATAAAGATGCCACGCCTTTTTCCACCTCACCCTCTTCGGGATGCGGTTATACCTTGTGAAGAAGCTCAAACCGACCCCAGGGACGAGACCCTGTGGAGAGGCCACCCATGGGTGTTTTGGCCCGTGGCCAGCATCCACCACCCACGCGGACAGGGTGAGGCATTTCTGAGTTGACTCCATCCCTAGCTGCCCTCTCAGCGCGACCTCCTGAGTGACCTCAACAAGAATCAGCCAGCCGAGCCCAGTCAACCCCCAGAATAAGACTTGTTTTAAGGCCCGAAGTTTGGGGTGATTCCTACACAGCAGTAATTGGACCGGTGACCTTAAACTTCACTCAGCCTCCCTCGCCTCAGCTTCTTTATCTGCGAAATCTACCTTAGAGGATTATCATGAGAATTAAAAGACAGTGGAAATAGAGTTCTTAGCGTGTGCTTGGTGTGGGCACCGGTGATAGCTGTGCAACAAGTGTAATAATTAAGATCAATGACGTCGTGAGTGGGCTGGAAGAGGCCTGGACTGAAACCTTAGAACTGGGAAGAGACAGACAATTGGGCAGCTGAACGTGCCGTGGGGCGACCTCCTCGCAAGAGCCCGAGAGGGGAGCCGAGGTTCCAGATGTGCGGTGAGGAGCTGTGACAGGATTCCGGCAGCAGCGGTGTGAGGGGGACAGGCCGGGTGGGGAGGCCTTTACTTGGCTGCGTGCTGTGCGTGAGCCGGCGGCGTGAAGACTGGAGGTGAGGCGGGAGGACCTGGGTCACATTGGGGGTCGGTTTCTGGTGGTGGGGGGGGCAGCATACAGAAACCTTTCACCTTAAGAGGAAGCAGAGCAGGGGACTGGCCCACAGCAAGCCTCCAGGCGAGATGGGTGTGCGGGAGCAGCGGATGTTGGAGGTCACAACCGGCAGAGTTAACCAAGCAGCGAGGCGGGGCACCGGGCTGGTGCTGGCGGACGTTGTGTGCGTGGTGTGCTCCTCGGGCTTGGCTCCCCTGCTCCAGGGTCCGAAAGGTCCAGCCGCTGCAGCAAGGGTCCGGAAAACTCAGGCATCTGTGAACACGTAAATCTTGCAAAGCCAATCTACCCCCCCTACAAAAAAACCCCTACCATAACAAAACCCCTTACTCCACCCCCACGCTCCACCCCACAGATGACATACGTGCTCATTGTAGGCATATTGTGTGATGTAGAAGAAGCAAAAAGAGCAAAAGAAAACTTTCCTACAGGCCAGGGATAACCTCTGTTAACGTTTTGGTGCACACGGAACCTTCCAGACGATATCTAAAAATAGAATCCTATTGTGCATGCTGCTCGGTAATCTGCTTTTATCACCTGCTGATGGGCTCCGGCCATGTTTGCATATCATGAAATATGCATCTGCAGGCCCGGCTCTCAGCCTGGGGACGGGGAGCTGTGTGCCGAGAGCCCTGTGGAGCGGCAGGAAGCCCATGGTTGATCACTCTAGAGTATCAATTTGACTCAGTGGTAAGTCCCTTAAAATATTATTTTTATATTAAAACGCACCCAGATAGTGTCTGGAGGAAAGTGCAAAATTTGCATGAATTTTTCAGAGAAGATAAGAGACTTCAAAGAAACACCCAGCGTGCCGCATTCTTCTGTACCGTCATTTTAAATGGCGGGTGGCATTAACTTAGGGGGGGATCGGTTGAATGGGCCGTGGGAGAGGAAAGAGGGAAGAGATGTGACAATTCAAGGACAACAGGGCAACCAAGGCCCTCCCACGGGGCACAGAGTCTCTGCCCAGCCGGCACTCAGAGATGCCCTGAAGGGCAGTGTGGGTGTCTGGGTGTCGTGGCTGGGCCTTCAGAGCCTGGGCCTGAGTGGGTGGCTTAGTTCTAAGCCACACCAGCCTTCACCTTCCCTCCTGTGGGCACAGACGGATGAAGGCTGGGGTGCCGTCAGCATGGGGATGGCGTGGCTGTGGCTGACACGGTGCTCAGGACTGACCCGGGAGTGTCAGATACGGCCTGAGTGTGCACGGCTCTGCTGTTAGCAAGCTGTGACCACCATCAGTTCACTTAGCCTCCCTGTTTCTTTCATCGACAGTAAGCCAGCGGTAAAAGCAGCAACCTATAGGGTCGTTGGGGGCATTAAATGGGTAAAGGGTGCTACGTAGACTATCACTTGGGACATAGTAAACACTCAATATATGTTAATTATTATTATTATGTAATCTGTGATTGCATAAGCTGCTCGTGGTAAATGAGCCCCACTCTTGTTTCAAGCTGAGCTTGTGGCTAATTAAAACTCTTGGGTCTTTTTCACTGGAATTGGTATTAAGCTTGCATTCTCTGTGCTGTCATTAATTTTTAATTGAATGGCTTATTAATGTGCAGTTTCCTTTTAAACATTTATTTAATGTATTGGGGTGACATGTGTTGTTACATCATGTGTTCACCACCAAGGTCAAGTCTCCGTCTGTCACCATAGATTTGACCCCCTCACCCTTCCCTGCCTGCCTCCAGCCCCCTTTCCTCTGGTCACCACTGTCCTGCTGCATCTATGAGTTTTGCTTGTTTGTTTGTCTTGTTGGTTTGTTGCTTTCAGTTTTATATCCCACGTATGAGTGAAGTCATATGGTTCTCGACTTATTTTGCCAAGCATGATATTCTCAAGAGCCTTCCATGTTGTCGCACACAGGGCAGTCTTTCAGCTCAGGGCTAAGCAGTGTCCCACTGCACCTTGCCGTCTTTATCCAGTCACCTGTCGCAGGGCGCTGGTCGTTCCTGTGTCTTGGCCACTGTGAGTCATTAATGTGTACTTTCTTGATTCTGGCCTATTAGTTATCCAGTCCATTGGGCTTCAGGTTTATATGTGTATACGTTTATTGTCCCCACTTTACAGATGACAAAATAGAGGGAAGGGAACTATTCCCTATCGAGGGTGTCCTTTGTGCCGGACGTTGGGATAGGTGCTTCAGTAAATCTCCAGAACAGTCTAAAGAGGCAGGATTTGTTACCTATTGCACAGATGCAGAAACCGCAGCTCAGAGTGGTTAAGCTAGTTGCCCACGGTTGCCCAGCTGGCTCTGCATTCTCTCCCCGCAGTCACACATCATGCCACCCCTTCGTTTGTGGTCATCTGCAAACCTCAGTGGCATGCTTTCGGTCAAGCCGTTGAAGTAGAAGCTTTATAGGACAAAGCCAAAGGCAGACAAATCACCGGAGAATGCCTTCTGGATAGATCTATGCCTCTCCCATCAACTCCTGAATCGATGCTCTGTGAAGATCCTTCATCCATGAAACTGGAATCGAATACCTCTACTGGAAACAGGTCCCGAGCCTCTTGTGAGGTCATAAAGAAACTTCCTTCTCTCATGTCTTTAAGGGACAGGCCCCTTGTCCCAGCTTCTTCCTTGTCCCTTCTTGGCTGGAATCAGGATTCTTCCTGAATCACGTCCTAAATCAATCCCAGAAAGTGTTGCTTTTCAAGCCGGGTGTGAGAAGCTTTACAAAGCATCCTGGGAACAGCCAGCATCTGCCTGTGTTTACTCTTGCTGTTGGTAAAAGCCGACAGCTGGAGCACCAGGGGTCCAGACTGTAGGCACAGCCCTGCTGACGATGAAGAAAGAGTTGATCATAGAGGCTGGACCCCAGATAATCCCAGCGCCTTCTTTCCCACTGTCAAAGTCATGACAGAAGAGCAGTCGGGTCAAGAGAAGAGGAGGGGGAGCTGTCTAATGCAAACCTCTCCCTGGAGGATCAGGACACAGTGACAGCCTGAGCTCTGGACACTTGGACTAACCCGTGGACCCCCACCGATTGGAGAGAGCCCTGGGGAGAACGAGAGAAGGGGGAGTCAGCACCAGTCTGATCCCCGCCTGTGGAGAGATGGTCCCATCCGAGTCGTGGTCCCCTAACTCCCTAGTTCCCCTCTCTATGGCCACACGCTGGCAGGTTAGTGTAGCAGGCCCTGGGATAAGTTTGATCTTTGATCTCCTCCATTTGACCCCTCTGGGGAGGGGATGCTTAGGGTAGCAACGTTGTGCCTCCTCTTTCTGCCCTTCCCATAGCTGCTCAGAATCCTCCAGGGTCTCCCATTCCCTTAGATCAGAGCCCAGCGTGCTCACGGGGCTCGCGTGGCCTGCCCGCCCGGCCTCTGCCCTCTCGGCCTCCCCTCCCACCACACGCCCTCCTGTCACCTCCACGCTCGCCAAGCACGTTCGGACCTTCCGTTCTCTCTCCCCCGTGGTTGCCAGACTGGGCGAATAAAAACGCAGGGCGCCACGCTAACACTGAACTTCAGATAAAAAAGCATTTTCAGTATAAGTATGCCCATGCAGTGTCTGTTTATCTGAATTTCAGATGTGACCCGGTGTCCTGCACTGGATCCGACAGCCCTGAAGGCTCCCTGCGCTCCGCTCCTTGGGTTCCCACACGGCTTGTCCGTCGGGCCTTGCCTCTCTGTCCCGTCTACGACCCACATCTCCTTCAGAGCGCCCACCACGTCCTGATGTGCGGTCGTTTACTCATTTATTTGTTGGCTGTGTGTCCCCCGCCCCGGGCACAAACAAGGGCGGGGATTTATGTCTTCGCTGCGGTGTCCTCAGGCTCTGGGGATCACGGCTGGTGCCCAGTGAACATTTGCTGACCGAGCGCATGACCTTTTGCTGCTCCCGACTCTGTCGACCTCTCTGACCCCATCCCACAGGGCCTGCTGTCTGGTGCAAGCCCCCCCCCCCCACTGTTCGAGTGGCTGCCCCTTCTCTTCTCTTAGCTCTCAGGGAGGGCTTCTCTGACCTCGAAGTCCAAAGTAGCCCTCTGACCCTTGACCTTTCCTTCGCCAGACTCTGTTTTGCTTCCTTTAAAATCCTTACCGCGTTAGGAGATCGTGTGTTTAATCACCGGTTGACCTTTGTTTCCCGTGCACAGGAATGTGAGTTCCAGGGAGCTGCTGGCCACATGTGGCTGGGACATGGCCGGGTCCCTAGCACCCAGCCCCATGCTTGGCACAGACTGTGAAATCAGTAACTCTGTGCTGAGTGCATGAGTGAGGGAGAGGTTTGGGGGTGGGCGATGAACCCCAGCTTTGCAGGAGCACTGGGACCTGCAGTGAGGGGGTGGGCTGAGCCCAGGAACCAGCGTGGAGAGGGTTTCTCCCAGGAAGCTGGCCTGCACCTCGTCCCCAAAGCGCGGTGGCTACTCGACCTTTGTCAGCAGCGCTGATGGCTGGCGAGGAAGCCTGGAAAGGGCTTCTGGGCTCCCGGCTTCTCTGGGCCTCTCTGGCGGGCAGGAGAGGCCGTCTCCTTGCTGTCGGGACAGGCCACTGCAGGGCCGGAGAGGGGACCGCCTCCTCCGTGCCTCCTTTTTCCCTTTGCCCGCTGCTGCAGGTGATGACAAGACCCAACAGCGGTGGAGCTCAGTGTCTTGTGTTTCCAGTCACCGAACACCGGGGCTCTGTCGCCACACCGCAGCCTAGTTCGTGAGCGTGCGGCTGTAGCCGCTGTGTCTGCTGCATGGAAAGTGCTTGATGAACGTGCTGGTGGGTTCCCTGGTGGGGGAAGTCTGTTTATTCCTGCAAACGAACAGCAACAGCACGGTGTTAAATAACCCCAGGGGGCCAGGGCGTGCCCTTGTTTGTCAGAGAGCGCTCCTGTGCTGACGGGCATCAAGCTCTCGAAGCCCATGGTCTCTCTCTCCGGGGTTAGCAGGGACAAACGTGTGAAGAGTGTCCCATAGGGCACCAGCCAGAATGGGAGCCGTCTGCTCTCTGGCCGAC